GAGCAGTACTAATGTTTTTGTGAATATTGTATTTGATATTTACATTTTGGATGAAAAACAAAACATTAACATACTAGAAACAATGGTACGAACGGATTTTATGATAAAGTACCTAGTGTTATTGAAATTAAATATACATTAGATTACCAGGGCCCCTTTCCAATAGCTCAGCGGTAAGTCAGTGGGCTAATAACGTTAAAAATCAAGTTTCGATACCCGTAGTTTTTGCTATATGAAAAGAAGGTAAGTTTTAGAGATATTGTACTTTTAAATATTCGTTGTCTTGGAATATCAGAATACATATATATATCTATAACTTTTTTGTCAGTATATGTGTTAAACATATTCAAAATAAAAGATGGGCATAACAGCACTTTCCGCTAAAAAAAGTATTAAAACATCAATGTTTGAAGAGGTTCGTGTATTTATGACCTGCATGAAAACAAAACTGGCTATATATTGTTAGTTAATATATTTAACATAACATAATGTTAGGGACAACAAGGGACTTACTGGTCCATTTCGGCTATCCCATCATCTAAACTAAAACTATTAAATAAACAAATTTCTAAAAATTTTAAAGCCAGCCCTTATCATTTATGCATTTATCAAGCTTTCTTTTAAGCTCACTTAATTTTACTGCTTCTACAACATCCGAAGGCAACCCATTACAAAGGCCAACTACCCTGTTTGACAAATAAAACTGTCTTAGCTGAAGATGTCTCCTACCTTGTCAAAATTTATATTTGTGTCCCCTAGTCCTACTATTCTCACTGGTAAGTATGAAAAAAGATGATGCATCAACACTGTCAGTTCTCTTTACAATCTTAAACACCTCAACCAGATCGCCTCTAACCCTTCTTTTTTCAAGAGAAAACAATTTCAGAAATCTTAATCTCTCCTCATATGCTAACCCCTCCATCCCAGGCAGCATTCAAGTAACCCTTCTCTGAACGATTTCCAACAATTCAATGTCCTTCCTAAGGTAAAGAGCCCAAGAGTGAACACAATACTCCAAATGTGGCCTAACCACAGATCTAAACAATGAAATTATAACTTCTTTAGACATATATATTCAATATTTCTGTAGATACAATCTAAAAACTCCTGGAGTTATTTTTTGTCTATACTTTTTAGTTTTTCTGCACTTGAAGAATATGTAGCACTGAAATTCTTAATTAATTCAGACGTGAAGCTGCCTCCTGGTGGTTCTATGGTAAGCATGAAAGCTCATAAAGTTAAAAATTGGAGTTCAATATCTGCGGTGAACACAGTGCAGATAGCTCATAGCAGATCAAGCTTTTTGAAGATAACGTTTCGTGTTTTCATAAATTCTTATTAAAGTCTCGGTTTAAAACATGTAGGTGGGCAACATTACTATTTAAAAAGTCTCTAATAATATAGTTCGAGACATAAATAGTGTTGAAATAAAAATATTAAATTGTGTGAAATTAAAACCTTAGTATCTGAAATTAAAACATTGATATTTTGGCTTAAGAAACCAAATATGTTTCAGTGGAAACATCTTGAATGTCTGAACTCGAAACACCAACTTTTTTTGAAGTAAAGCATATTTTTGAAATAACAGCAAAATCATGTTTTAGTAAGTGTCTCAACTTTAGATATTTCAATTTACCTTGTAGAAAGTGTGTACATTTTTTACTTGTCAAAATAATCAGAAGAGATTTGTATTGCTTTTGTACTTTCTAACACATTTTCAGACAGACACGTGGTTGTGTCTTATGAAAACATTTGATTCTTGGTCCTAGTAATATTAAGAAGTTTGTATCTTTCAAAATTATTGGACTGGATCTTAACTTGTTTTATATGACAGTTATAGGATCTCTATCTTTTGTAACGTGACAGATATTGGATCTTCACCTTATTTCACGTGACAGATATCGGAACTCTACCTTATGTTGTGTGACAGATATCGGATATCCACCTTGTGTCACGTGAGAGATATAGGATCTCTACCTTGTATTACGTGACAGATATTGGTTCTTCACTTTGTGCCATGTGACATATATCGGATCTCTACCTTGTGTCACATGACAGATATCTATCTCCACCTTGTGTCACGCGATAGATATAGGATCTCTACCTTGTATTACGTGACAGATATTGGTTCTTCACTTTGTGTCATATGACATATATCGGATCTCTACCTTGTGTCGCATGACAGATATAGTATCTCCACCTTGTGTAACGTGATAGATATAGGATCTCTACCTTGTATCATGTGACAGCACTGGGTCTTAACCTTGTGTCATGTGACATATATAGAAGCTCCAACTCGTGTCATGTGACAAGCATCGGATATCTACCTTGTGTCACATGACAGATATCTATCTCCACCTTGTGTCACGCGATAGATATAGGATATCTACCTTGTG